TTTATCAAATAATGTCTACTGATTAGGAAGTAAGATTAATAAGTCCTGTTAATAGGGTAGGATACCAGTAAAGAAACAGGCCATCTAGGAAATTGGTTACTCGTGTGATTGGTTTTTGTTTTTGTGGTTAAACGAAACTTTGATTGAGGGAGAAGAGTACCAAGAGGCTGTCTTCCAGAGGTTCTTGGACCTCAGACCTCAGGATGTATTACACTTTGATAGTGTAAATTGTGAAGTTTCATTCTGCATCATCTTACCGTTTTTGTTTGTGATTTTGTTTTTACCGTTCTTGATTTATCCTTATATATTGGTGTCTTTTAAAGTGGGGGGAAAAGGACCATATATTATCTTCACCGACTCTGTTAAGTCAGAGGATTTAAATTCATGTATCCTCTTGGAAAACTTTACCTCCTTAACTGCTCTATTTCTTACGTTTACTTTGTGGACATTTTATAATTTCTAGTGCTGACAGATTGGGTCAGAAAGAGAAGGATAAACTTAACAGCATTTTAATTTTTAACGTGGGAGGCCATAGGGATGTGTGGGAGGGTGGAGATGTGGAGAGATTGAGAAGCAAAATACCTGATTTTTGTTTCCTCTAACCTTATTCTTCGTTATCTTTAACATTCCTGAGTCTACGCAGTATTTATATTGAGTAATCAGTCACCTGAGTTGTGCTGTTTTTTTGATGGGTTGGTAGAACTGTGTCTTGCTTATTCCATGATAACTACATAAAAGTAGTTTAGTTGGCACCTTTATTATTGGTTGCAATTTCAATGGTATAATGATTTTGTTAGTAAAGTTATTATATATGAAACTTACATATAATGACATTTGTTTGGAAAGTACTCAACATTTTTATATTAGAGCCATATGGTCTTTTTTAGATGTCAAGATACAAAGGGGACAAGAAATATAGGTTAGGTAAGTAGCAGCAGCTTCTGGTACTAATGCCTTGTAAAAACTTATATTGGCAACCAAAATTTGAGTTAGGAACATTCCAGGATTATTTCAGAGAAAATCATGTAGGTATTTAACTTTTAAAGTGACAGGATGTTTTTCAATAAAGTTAAAATCCCTGCCTGAGATATTTATTAACCAAGGATTTGTTCATTGTCAATTCTGAATCTAAAAACAGAAAGGTATTTAAGCACATATATATATATATTTTTTAAGAATAGAAAAAATGACACTTATAATTTGTGTTTGAGAGATAGAGTTAAACAATTAGTTTAATATAAAAAGTTCAAATTAAGGTACATAAAAAGGATTATGGGAACTCAAAGTTTATTCTTAAATTATTCTGTAGAAAAGGGGGTGATGAGTGCGTTTCCCTACCTTTTTCCTTTGCCTTCCTTCTGTCCACTCATTTAATATCAACTTGGCCTCTGCCATATACCTTTATTAAGTTAATGTTTTTATTAATAAACAGACATATGAAGTTGTGGAAAAAAGTAACCAGTCTGATTTCTCTATTAACTTATTAGAAATGAGCTGTCTTGATGTTTTTTCTTTTCACAGATGCTGCATTTCAGAAAAGGATGCTTGTTTTGATCCTCTGCTAATTGCTTTTCTTGTGAAGTATCACTAATACATCCTAGAGGTGGTATTCTTTAAGAATTTGTGAAGAAAAACATAGTTCCCAGCCACTTTTGTATAACATGAGCAAACAAAATTTGTAATGTGAAATTTTATTTATTCACATTTCTTTCTTTTTAAAAAAAATTATCTTTATTGTTGAAAGTATTAGATGTCCCCTTTTTCCTCCAGTCATCCTCCCTTAACCTTTCCCCCGGCACCCCCATTGAGATGTCTTTATGACCAAGATTGTACTGAGTTTAATTCATATTTCTAGTGTTGATTATAATGATGACATTTTTATTTTACAAGTTTTGCATTCAGAAAGAATAAGTGTTTTTCTGTGGCTCATTTCCATAATCCAGAAGTGAAGCAGCATGAGTACAAGTGGTTGGTGGTGTTTTTTTTTAAACTTCTTTCTTTGTAATGATTACGGTATGCTAGATGTAGCTTAAAAGAAGTAGAATAAACCAAATCCTACTGCAGCACTTAACTGTCTTTTAAAAAATATTTTAAAATTGATTTTAGAGAGGGAGGGGGAGGAGGGAAAGCGAGAGAAACATCATGTGGAAGAAACATTCAGCTGCTTCCTGTACTCCCCCAACTGGGGATGGAGCTGGAAACACAGGCGTGTGCCCTGACTGGGAATGGAGCCCCGCACCTCTTGGTGCATCGGATGAGTGATGCCCAATCAACTGAGCCACGCCAGCTAGGGCCAGTACTTATTTTCATTCGTTATTGATTTGAGAGATGGGGAGAGGGAGAGAGGAACATCGATGTAACCGGGAATTGAACTTGCCACCTTCCAGACTACGGGATGATGCTTCAACCAACTGAGCAACACCTGCCAGGGCATTCTCATTCATTTTTAATTGTTTTTAGTGATAGACACTTAGTCTTAGCATATGTCTCCTTTGGTTGACTACTGTTTTAAACCTTTAAATCTGATGAGAGCTAAAATATTAGGCCAGTGTCTCTCATCAGTAGACAGGCATTCTATTTTCACCTGTAGTTGTAAAGGTTGACAGGTAGTTTGTTTTTAAAACCTTTAGATAGCTCCATTGAAAAGTGAGATGTAAACTCAGTTAATTACAGCATTTATGTACAAAGAATACATAATGGTGGGGTAGCAAATAATTTTCTGGCTTCAAATAGGTGACATTTGAATTGGGGTCAATTTGAAGAACAGAAAAACCTAGACACAAAGCTATGCATAAATTGTGATGAATAGGGGAAAGGTGGATTGGAAAAGGAAGTACAGGTCAAATGAAGGCATTATATGCCATTATAAGGATTTTGGAGTCTGTTTTTGGTGAGATACAAAAAGGGGAAGAAATCTGACCCCATTTTATATTCTAGATTAGTCTAGCAGCAGTATCGGGGATGACTTGTGGAAGAACTCCAAATATTTGTTCTAGGCCAAGCTTCTCATAGTATGTAAAACTATGGGAATACATTAGAATGCTCAAAATAAAAAGAGAGTCTATATGTTACCATGGAGAGCACCATTACTGGAGTTAAGAAAACTTAAAGGGAAAAAAAATGTAGGGAAAAAGGTAGAAACAAGTGGAGAAAGAAGTTATGGAAGCCAAGAGAGAAGTGGCTTAGTGTCTAATGCTACAGAGAGGTCAGGTAAAAAGTGGTGGATAAACTTGGCCAGCAGAAGCCAGATGCCATTGGGTTGAAGAGTGTATAAGATAGGTAATGAGACACTAGTGCAGTGGTTCTCAACCTTGGCTGCACATTAGAATCACCTGGGAATCTTTTTAAAATCTTGATTTCTGGGCCTCATCCTCCGGAAATTCTGTTTCTTACTAATGTTGTGGCCTCACCCCATAACAAAGAAACAGAATTTCCAGAGGATGAGGCCCAGAAATCAGGATTTAAAAAAAAAATTCCCAGGTGATTCTAATGTGCAGCCAAGGTTGAGAACCACTGCACTAGTGTTCTTTTAAGAAACGTGGCTCTGAA